GGATAAGGTTTTGAATATGGTAAACTAGAATTTTGTTGTACTTTATGTGCTTTATAACTTTAATTAAAAAGCCACGGGTGGAGTAATAATGAAAGAGTGAAATAATATGCTTAATACATTCTTAAAGGCATTATATCATGCATAATAAACATATAATTCAGACCTAAATGACTCTAAATTCATACTTAAAGAACATGTTTTTCTATAAGGCATAATTATAACAATCAAATAATTATTGCATTAAAACATAAAAAAAAGCATGCTCGGATTTTGCATATTATAACCTCTTACGTCACAATTAAATTGTTACACTTAATACAAGAGTTAATACCTCCAATGGTCCTCTGAGTATTAGGGTATTACCGGTTGTGGTCATCTGAGTTTAAAACTACCCTGAGACGTCCTTCGAGTTTTAAAAAGCAATCACCCGTGGTCCTGTGTTAGATTTTCTGTCAAATAAGCGTTAAGTTTGAGGACAAATTTGTCATTTCTCCTATATTACATTCTTTAAAGGCTTTGTTCATTCCCCAGCAAAGGTAGGTCGTCACTTTCGCCCAAATCACAGAGCCGTGGTGAAACTCGTCAAATTTGCCAATGGAGGCTTCGTATGTACTACTTATGCAACTTCATAAAGGGGGACATTAAAAATTTAAGCTTGCTCAACGAGATTCAAAGCTGCCGAGTCATCATAGCCAGCCACATAATTAAGCCAATTCACGGCCGCAACCTCAGGAGCACAAGCGTTCAAAGCATAAGTCGCGCCAGCGCCAGAGTCCCACTCAAGCCGGCATTGTTGGACTTGCCAAACCGGAATCCGAGTCCATAACCAGCAGTGTCGGCGCCGGCGAAGATAATAGCCGAGCTCGCAATTCTAATCAGAGGCGACATGGAATCCACCCGCACCTAGATGCCAGACAGCTCTCTATCTCTTACCTCCGAACACATCTGTTTGATAGGAATTACAGCAGCGGCGGTGCCGGTGGAAGAAGTAATCGATGTTGTGCGGTTCGGAGATGGATTTTTTAGAGAAGAAGCGAAGGGTTCATCGTGAAATCGAATTTTATTTGGGTTGCCCAAGAAAACTGGTGCTTTTTTCCTGCCATATAAGAGCCATGCATTGCATTGGGCATCAGCTTTTCTTCGGATGTCGTTAGTGGATGAAGACTTATATATTATTCCAAAGCAATTGATTTCTGGCTTGCCATATGACAACAAAGAGAAAGGCAGCTTCTACCCTTTGGTCATTAGTGGCATTTTCCATAAGAGTCTGCAACCATTCACTTAGCGAAGATTGAGTCCGAAGTATACCCATAGGTCAGGAAGATTAAAGACTTAAACCCAAAGTTGGATGTGATTTAGAGTAACATCCATCCGCGATTCACCTTCATACAGAATTTTACATACTAAGGATCTGTTATCGAAGGACCATGGTCCCTATTCAATCACACGCATAGTTTCTTTTGCCAAAGGAAATTCGAACAAATAACGTCCCTGACAGATCAAACTTTGATGATATGGACGCCCTTCACTGGTCTCCAAACTTTGGCGAGAACCTATTACATGGCATCGAATCATATAGCCTTGTCCGTTAAAAAAACGTCCGACCAAGATTCCTGCGGTAGTAGTTTGGTGCGGTACTTCCAGGTTGGGGTCAACGAAAGAGATACCTTCTTGGTCCGTATCAATGGTAACTCTTGCATACTGATCGGTGAGGGCTGGGATGTCCATGATGCCAGTAACGATCTGATGGAGAAGATAGAAAACGGTTGCACTTTTACTTGGAAGAACTAATTTTGACTAATCAATGTTTTCACTTGATAAAAAGACGACGTGCCTTAGCATCGTGTTGACGTCGCCGATGGTCCATCCGTCATCACCGGAAAAAAACACCATTGTTGACGGCAATGAAGGGAGAACGACTGGAAGAGCAATTTTTTTTTAATAATGTAAAGAATTTCGTCGTCTTTCCTCCATCAACAATGGTCTGCCGGCGAACCATATGTTTAATCGGCTTCAACCGTCATCTCTGGCCACCGGCGAACCGAACGACAACTAGAGGTCCAAAAAGGCGAACCGAAATCCGGCGATGAACAATAAAAAAACAGTAAGTAATATCCAATTGCAATTTTTTTTTTCTTATTTTTAATGCGGAAACTAATAAAGCAAATAATTTTCCAGCACCCCAGGCCAATATAATTGCAAAAGAAGTTACATACGAATTCTCAATTATACAACAATGTATATCATATGTAAAAATTCTAAATTTATGCAATCAAAAGAAACCAGGCAGCGATTAAATGAACTCTAATACCAAATGTAAGCACATAATCCACATTAAACGTTAATATGTTTCAATAACCGTAAACCCACTAACCTCCAACCATAGATTTAATCCTTGGTTGCTTGAATCCTTTGTTTGTTCGCGGCAAAGACAGGCGTGACCACGGGCTTACAGTCCACCATGCCAGCACGTTTGAGAATGTCCTTCATGTACTGTTGTTGAGATAAAAGCATACCACCAGATAACGGGACATTTTCAATTCCCAAAAAGAAAGAAGGCACACCCATATCATGAACTTTAAACTCAAGTGCCAATTTATCAATAAGAGCAGTAACACGGTCTAAGTCAGACCCCATAATCAAAATATCATCAACATACACCAAGAAATAAAGATGAACATTATCACGAGAATAGATAAAAGAGACACATCCATCTTTGAGGGCGCAAAGCCCACAAAGACTAGAAAATCATGTAACAACCATGCACGCGAGACCGTAGAGAGATTTTTTAAGCAAGCACACATGATCAGGTAATGACTAATCCTCATAACCAGGTGGCTGGCGCATGTAAATAGTCTCAACTAGCTCTCCATTCAAAAAAACATTGTGAATATCCAACTGGCGAATAGACTACCCACGTGATACGGCTAAAGATAAAAGAAGACGTACCGTAGTGGGTTTAACGACAGTACTAAATATCTCAAAAAAGTTCTTTCCAGCAACCTGATTAAAACACTTGGCCACCAATCGTGCTTTATGACGTTCTATTGAACCATCGGCCTTCCGTATGGTTTTGAAAACCCACTTGCAACAAACAACATTCATACCTGGTTGAGAAGGAACAAGACGTCATGTATGATTATGAACCAAGGCATTGAACTCTGTGTCTATTGCATCACGCCACTCAGGAAACTTGACCGCCTGAGAGTAACAAGTAGGCTCAGACACCACGGTGGAAGTAGTGGTTAAGACAACATGTTGATGCGGACCCAAGCTATGAGTGTTCATGCCATGCGACCGAGGAGGCGGAGTGGATCGCCGAGGACGCCCGTGCGGTCTGCCGCACTGCTCAACCTGCTGGTCCGAGACAGTCCGCTCACTCGATGCGGACTACTCGTGACCAACACCGTCATCATGGCCATGAGCCAACACGGGCTCGTTAACCTGTCGAGTGCCATCAACAAGAGTGTCCGAGACATCATTCCTTCGACTCGTCACAACTGGTGCGGTGGCCCACGGTTCGGACCATGGCTTAGGAACATGCGAGGCAATAGGAGAAATAAAAGGAAACACAGCCTCATCGAACCGCGCGTGGCGACAGATAAAAACCTTGTTGGTGTTAGTATCTAAACAACGATAGCCATGATAAGATGGGGGGTAACCCAGAAAAACACAGGGAGATGAATGAAACTGTAGCTTATTTTGATTATATGGACGCAAAACAGGAAAGCACAAACAACCAAATACCCGCAAGTAAGAGTAGGATGGGGGAGAACGATGCAAACGAAAGTGTGGTGACTCATCAGACAAAACACGAGTGGGCATTTTATTTATAAGATAGACAGCAGTCTCAAAAGCATAGTCCCAGAAACGAGAAGGAACAAATGTTTGAGCCATTAAGGAAAGTCTTGTCTCAACAACATGACAATGCCTGCGCTCCACCCGTCCATTCTGTTCATGAGTATATGCACAAGACTGCCTGTGATGAATACCTAGAGAAGAAAGGGTGGAACCAAGCTTCTTATATTCTCCCCATAAATCATATTGAAAAGAAATAATCTTGCGAGAAAAAGAACGTTCAACAAGTGACCGAAACTTATCAAATATGCCATATAATTCAGATTTGGCACGCATCGAATAATACCATATATATCGTGTGTAATCATCCACAAACAACACAGAATATTTAAAGTCATTCGCAGAGAGTAATGGCGCAGGGCCCCAAATATAAGAATATATTAATTCTAAAGGTTGTGTACTAGTAGTTTCAACACGAGATAATGGGAAACGAGATATGATTTTTCCAATTGACAAGAGGAACAAACATTGGGAAGATCTTTCGAATTAAATGTACTAACATACGAAGACTCTAAAATTTTGCGTAAGAATCGAGAGTGCGGATTCCCCAACCGCATATGCCAAACAAAGGACGAGCGCGCAACAACAAAAGCAGCTGGAGCAGGAAAAGACGTAGGCCAGGAATAGAGACCTCTAGACACATGCCCTTTAAAAAAGATCTTCTTGGTCAAGTGTCCTTCACAAAGAAACAAAGAGAGTGAAACTCAAAGAAAACATTATTATCTTTGGCAAAACGCTGAACAGATAATAATGAAGTAGAGAGACCAGGGACATGCAAAATATCACGCAATGTAAATGATCTAGAATTAGTGGCTAACGAAGCAGAACCAACATTAACAATAGGCAAGCTTGTACCACTACCGACGTGCAAAGTTTCCGGGCCATCATAACTTGTTGCGGAAGTCATTAACGACGAATCAGGTGTAGCATGATTCGTAGCACCAGTGTCTGAGAACCACTCATGTGGACCTGTGTGATTACCATTTTCACCAGAGACAGCTACATTCGCCTGAGGAGCCGGGGAGGTGGAGTAACGATGCCAACACGAGAGAGCCCTGTGTCCTTGTTTGTTGCAAATTTGGCATCGAGGACCCGTGCCTGCGACCGCATCTGCCGCCGCCTGATCCTCGACCACGAACGTGCTACTGTGTCATGTTGCCACGGCCACCGTGGCTGGAGGCCGCACCGCCTCGGCCAACGACCATTGCAACCTGCGGTGCCCCTCCGTCTCCATCGGCAGCGTAGATCCACTCTTGTGACACCAAGAAATCCGCCACCTCTGCAAGCGGAACCGCAGCACCCCGAGCTAGGGTTGCTACAAGCGGACGAAACTCAAATCGCAAGCCACGGAAGACGTATAGGTTCTGGTCGTCTAACGTAACAGCACGACCGACAAGAGCCAAATCATCAACCAACAACTGTGCACGACCAATATAATCTGCGATGGAAGAATCACCTTGCCGAAGGGCTTGCAATTCACCGAATAACCGTAATGCCCGAGAACGTGAGGAAGAGGCAAGAGATTGTTCGATGGTGAGCCAGAGTTGCCGGGAAGTAGACCGACCAACGGTGAACCGCATCGTCTCCTTCGAAAGAGACGAAATTAAGAGGGACAAGATAACCTTGTCTTGTCTCCTCCAATCTACCTGCCAAGCAACGAGTTCGTTCGCTGCCGTGAGACTGTCGGCAGTCGAGGCAGCAGTGTCGGTGGTGGTGGCTGGCGCTGCGACCGGGTATTGTAGACTACCATCGATGAAGCCAAGAAGACCTTGACCTTCAAGAAACGGTAGCATCTGTGTCCGCCAAAAGAGATAATTACGGGATATCAGCTTTAAAGAAACAAAGTGATGAGCCGATGAGAGGTTATTCCCGGTGGTCATAGGGGAAGTCTCGGTAACGGTCCGTTCAGAAGATCGAACAGAGCCATCATCAGGGAGACCGAGACCTTCCATTAGAGAAAACTTGGAAGCTGATACCAGATGAGAATATAGTTGTGTTGTATTCAATCGTAATATCTGAGAGTACAGAGAGCGAATATATAGGTACTAGATAGAATCCTAGTCTAACACGAATAATATAGTCCTAGTCTAATATGGATAACATAGTCCTAATAGGCTCAATCTTAGATGATACGGAGTAACAATTTTCATAGAAAGTATTTTCCCCACTGGGACCTAATCCTTTGTCTACATATTTTGTTATTTCTAACCGATGATTTACTTGGTTTCATGTTGGCAATGCTTCTATATTTGCTTATTCCTTGCATGTTTTAACTTTTTGTCATCAAGTCAAAGAATATGGTGAGTTCATCAATTTATTTGACAAAGAAGAAATGGTGAGCATTGAAGAGGAAACATTGAACGGTGAGATCTTTCTGAGGTGCATGGAACCCAACGCAAAAAATGACTCTGATTTTGGCGAGTTAGCCGATTTTATTGAGTGCAAACAAGGGAAGGATTATGCAGGTTGGCTACAGGATAGAGAAAAATATAGAAAATGGAAATCTAAAAGGAGAGCAATGTTAAGGTGGAAGAGAAAGAGAACGACTTGGAAAGTTTGGAAACGGAAAAGTAGTACTACTATTGGGTTAATGGCTTCTGAATTTCCATGAGAAAATTCATCCTGAAAGTGGGATACTGATTGCCATCAGAGATGTTGGATATCAAATTAGTTCAAGGAAATTAGGATGACCTGTGTAGAATTTTCATTTTTGCAGTTATGATGCCTTGTGGAATCTAACAATGTATAAATAAGGGAATTGCAAACAAGCTTATCACGACGCCCCCGACCGCCTTGTCGCCGAGGCGATGAGTAACATATATATATATATATATATATATATATATATATATATATATATATATATATATATATATATATATAGCGGTTGAAGCATTTTAAGCATTAAAATGGCGCACTTTAAATACACAAACCACGCACCTTAAATACACAAACAAAGCACCTTAAGCACACAAATTATACGCACCTAAAGTTTTAGGCCGATGCACCTTAAGTACACAAAGCACGCACATTAAGATTACAAACCGCGCACTTAAGGTTTTAAAATGGCGCACCTTAAGTTTTAATAATTCATGGACTTTAAAAAGAAAATTCACGCAGCTTAAGAAGGAAAATCTCGCACCTTAACAACCGCACTATCACATCTAAGAAGGCCAACTGCACGGGAACCCATATATATATATATATATATATATATATATATATATATATATATATATATATATGTCACTGTTGAAGTGAGATCACCCTTTTCCGCAAGTCCATGTGTACAAGTCATATCCATTGATCTTTGAATAATGGATGACAAGGTATACTTGTGTGTGCAACAATGCACAATTCTGTGTGCAATAGTGCACAATTATGTGAACAAGCTTATTTAGAACGGCAACGAGTTTAGAAACAGACGCACCCACAAGCTTGGATCTATCACAATCCTCCAAGAAAAAAAAAAAAAAAAAAAAAAACCATCGCAACGAAGAATAAGGAAGAGGCCAAGCAAATTAATTAAAATTCTACAAAACTTGAGATCAGTTAGCAATTAACATTATTAATTTACCCTTAATATTGATTAATCATCCAAAAATATGAAAAAATAATAATAAAAAAGGAATAAACTTTTTAAAAATCTTTTATTTTAAGCCATCGAACGTCACATTTAATGGATTGGATTGCTCTACACGGACTTATTGGGGGGAGGGGGGGTGAGCATGGTCATTTTCATAAATATTACGGAGTATAAATTATAAATTTTTAAAATTAGCAAATATTACTCATTTCGTCCAATTTTATGTGTCTGGTTCGGTTAACGAGGCTTGACTAAAGTTATTTTTAATCCAATTTTTCATAATATTAAATTTAGTATTACTATACAAATTTTATATAGTTAGAAACTATACTACAAGTACCATTAAACACAAAAAATTAAATTTTAAAATAAGTAAAAAATACTAAAGAAAATAAACAAATAAGAAAGAGTTGACTCTTTGTGCTTCATTAGGTTGAGAAAGTATGTTTGAACATATAATATAATGTAATACAGTTAGTAGTATTCAAAAAAAAAAAAAAGAGTTGATTTGACCAATAAATAGTAAGTATGACATATAAATTGGGATGAGGTGGGGGAGTACAAAGTTTGGTGTATTTTCAACCATTAGATCTACTATATCAATAGTTTAGATTTATCCATAGGTTATCACCTGATTATGGATAGAATTTTAACTAGTAGAAGCCAAAAGAATGGAAGAACGAGCAAAAAGGCAACTCAGAAGAAGCCAAGAAGAAACAACCAAGAAAAAAGAAATGAAAAAAAAAAATCAAGAATGGTAGTCGACTACTTGAGACATCTGAGAGTGCATTGGCGGGAGTATAAGACGTCAGGGGTGCGCCGACGGTGGGTTGCGATGCAAAGGAAATGAAGGTTGCGATTTGCGAAGAGAAGAAGTGGCGGAAGGGTTTTAATCCGCTTTATTTTTTTTTTCTTTTCTTTTTCTTTTTTACATTCTGGGTCGACCCGGTGTTGACCATGTCAATCGTTATGCTATGGATTCGTATCCACAATGCATTGTGGACACGGTAACGGTGCTGTTAGTGGCACCGTTATCTTCCACTTTTTTTTTTTTTTTTTTTTTTTTTTTTTTTTTTTTTTTTTTTAATTTCAGACCGTTTTGTTATATGAGTATATGTTCATAATTTTATCACTATATATTCATAATTGTAAGTTCACAATATCAGAGCTCTGTGTTCATAATTTCATAACTGTACATCCATAATTCCGTAACTGTACATTCATAATTCAATAATTGTAAATTCATAATTTTCGAAGCTCTATGTTCATAATTTTAGAGCTCTATGTTCATAATTTTATCACTATATGTTCATATTGTAAGTTCATAATGTCAGAGCTCTGTGTTCATAATTCCATAATTGTACATTCATAATTCCATAACTGTACATTCATAATTTCCTAACTGTACATTCATAATTCCATAACTGTACATTCATAATTTTCGAAACTCTATGTTCACAATTTTAGAGCTCTATGTTCATAATTTTATCACTATATGTTCATAATTGTAAGTTCATAATGTTAGAGCTCTGTGTTCATAATTTCATAACTTACATTCATAATTCCATAACTGTACATTCATAATGTCACAAACGAATAACGCCGTTAACGTCGAGACAAAATCAAATTATTATTTTTTAACTGGAATGCCGTGTTTTTCCTGAAAACGACGTCGTTTTGGACTCGTGTCCACAATGCATTATGGACACGAGTCCACAACATAATTTGCATGACCAGGTTAGGTGTTCTAGATGCCACTTGAGCGGAGCTCATTACAGACTGGACGTCTAGGGGACGCCTTAATAAAACTCAGACCAGTTCTATGTTATTTTCTATTTTTTTTTTTTTTCCTGTCTGTGACAATTAACAAAACTTTAAACTTAATCAATTTACATTAAGTTATTTGAATCAACACAAGTTGACACAATCTTTGGTTGATATTTGGAGACGTAGTACTATGCTTAGGGTGCTAAGTAAAAAGAGCTCAAGTAACAAGTTGGGTGTCGCTCCTAAAAAGCTACACCGATCCCCTCACATTTTGTCTATCATATTTATTATTCATTGGTCAAATTAATTCTTAGAAAAATGGTACTTTTTCCTCCTAAGTTGTATACTTATAGCACTATTTCCTCCTGAATTATTCATGTAAGCACATTAGTCCCCTCAATTATTCTAAAAGTGGCGATTTTTACCCCTAATATATTAAATTGACATTTCTACCCTTAAAGTAAATATTTTATTTATTTTTCTTCTCCAACAAATTATTCGTATACGTAGGGATGATCACAGTTCGGTTTGAACTGAATCGGACACTTTAGCAATCGAATTGAAAGTTTTCGGTTATGATTCGGATCAGAACCCAATATTTGGATTTCAGTTTATTAAATTTATGAATCGAAAAAATTGGATACTGAACCGTAAACCGGCGGTTCCGGATCCGGTTCACGATTTTAAACCATCTTTATTTTAAAATTTTATTTTTTTATTTTGAAATAGTCTAAATTCAACAATAAATGTATTTCATATTATTTTTTTTTCAGTTCGGAACATGAACCGCTCATTCCGGTTCGCGATTTTAATAAACTCTAAATATCGGATTTCACTTCTAAATTAATTAGAATATTTCGGCTTGATTGCTATAATGTCTATTCCATTTGAACCAAATCGTGGTCACAATTTGTTGCAAAAGAAAACTAAATAAAATATTTATTTTAAGGGATTGTCCCAAACTGGAAGGCACAACAATGTGCTCTGGAAGGCATAACAATGTGCACTGGAAGACAAAAATTTGCACGGTAAAGCACAAAAATATGTAACAACTATTGAAAAGACTAAATTTAATACATGATCATCAACACAAATCATAAAAGATCATAATATTCAACTAAAATTAGTAATTAATGATTTATTCAAGATCACATGCTCTTTAATATATATATATATATATATATATATATATATATATATATATATATATATATATATATATAACACCTACGATCTTAAAGGTCGAAGGCACAATGATCTGCACGACACAATAATGTGCTCTGAAAAAAGGGACAATATGCACTCGAACATTGGAAAGGCAAAAATGTGCATGGTATGGTAGAAAATATGAAATAATTATTGCAAAGACTAAATTTAATGCATGATTTTCAACACAAATCATAAACAATCACAATATTCAACTAAAAGTAGTAATTACTAATTAGTGATTTATTCAAAATCAAATGTTCTTATATATATATATATATATATATATATATATATATATATATATATATATATATATATATATATATATATATATGATGGATATATTGGACCCGGAGAGACGAACCCGAGACGCCTCGGCCCAATCCCTTG